ATTCAGCATCATCCTGCAAGGATCAAAAATCTTTTTGGAATCAGGAATGAATCAAAATCCTGTAGTTTTCAGGTAGAAAAATCAAGGCAGAAAAGTTATACAGCTTATCCAATTTGGTTTAGACACTGCTTGAAATTCTCACAGAGTTCCTATACACATATCACATCTATTGGGAGAACAAGTAACCACAGGGTGCTGTCACCTCCCAAAGCTGTAGCCTTCATAATTCTATGGATAGGAAACAGCTGGAGATAATTGGTATAGGAAAGATGTGTAGGTAGCAGTACCAGAAATGTGAAGTTCATTTTTCAGTAACTGGAATTTAAGGCATCTGTTGGGTCCAGGAATCTTCACGCATTTCCAAAATCCTCTGAAGAGATTTACTGAAGGCCATTCAGTTCCCTCTCACCCTCTCCTCATGGCCAGTTTTATGACATCAAAATGGAGTAAATCTAACCATCTTGTTTGTCACGTTAATTTAAGAAATCTGAGAACTAAGAAAGAAGCCAGGGAAATTGTAAGAGAAGGTTGTGGATGTATCTATCTGGATAGCCTTTGACACTGTCTCCCATAATATACTCCTGGAAAAGCTGCAGCCCATGGCTTGGACAGGGGCACTCTGTGCTGGGTCAGGAACTGGCTGGAGGGCCGGGCCCAGAGAGTGCTGGTGAACGGGGCTGCATCCAGCTGGTGGCCGTCACCAGTGGTGTCCCCCAGGGATCAGTGCTGGGACCAGTCCTGTTTAACATCTTTATCGATGATTTAGATGAGGGGATTGAGTCCATCATCAGCAAATTTGCAGATGACACCAAGTTGGGAGGGAGTGTCGACCTGCTGGAAGGCAGGAGGGCTCTGCAGAGGGATAGACTGGAGAGTTGGGCTGATTCCAATGAGATGAGGTTCAACAAGGTCAAGTGCCAGATCCTGCACTTTGGTGTGAAACCCTCAGTGCTAACTTGGTGTGCCTGATTTAAGGCTTTAGAGACACCCAGGCAGAGTGTAGGATCACAGATATTTGATATATACCTACATACACACACACACACACTACCTAATTGTATTTACATAAAGACACGAGGAATAAAAAGGGCAAATAGAATCTTTATCAAGGAAACATACAGGTGGACTACATGTGACCCAAGCTCAAAAAACCTTGAGTTAGGCCACCCTCCTTCCTTTTGGCACACTTTAACTCTTTATGTCTGAAAGCACATGAAGGATCAGATGAGAGGAAACACCTTGAAGTTATCCCCAAAACTTCTGTCATAGACTCCTTCATCCCATTAGCATGGGCATGCAGAGAGCACCAGAAAATGATCTTTCACCATCAGAAAGTCCTGTGCTCTACTCACAACACTCCGTAACTGGGGAGTGCTTTAAGGTTGTGCTTTCAAACAATAGAAATACGTGTGCTCTTATCAAAAATCTCATTAAAAAGTAAACAGTTAGTTAATTCTACTGATACTGTCTGGAGCCCACATAATAGCAGACGTCTTGCTTCTACCTTTCTTTTTGTTATTACATTTTCTAGGAATAAAATAATCACTTTCTAACCCTGCAAGACTGCATTTAAATAAAAATGTAAAAAGCTAGAGAAAGGGGATTATGACAGTAACTTTTATTTTTCTTCCAGTTAAAATCTACAGATATTTGTATTGTATCTTTTTAATCTCCATGAACAGTGTTGCACATGTCTAAATTCAGCACATGAATATTATGAATAATATACCTCTGGTCTCAGGTGTGCAGTAAAACCCAGTGTTACAGGAAGTGCATTCAGTCAGTTAACCATTATGAGCATTTTTAATTATCTTTAAATCAACAATTATTCCTATAAGGTCCTCCAAACAATTTTTAATAAAAAACTAATTTACTACTCACAAATTAATTAGTATGAGATAAAATTAGTTGCATCTTTTTAAATGAGATTTTGCAACCAAGGTCAAGGGCAGTAAACATCTACTTCAAGTGCTAAAAGCCACTGCTTTTAGACTATGAAATATTCTCAAATTTATTTTGCCTCAAGGAAGTGAAGAATTGGTTCCATTGTGATGGAAGAACAGACTTAAGGGAAATAGGGCCCTTCAAACTTCAGTGGATAATCAAACAAAACCCATTCAGACGATGTTTTGATCAGGAAGTTTGTTCAATTAAGGAAAGGCAAGTTTTGACACAAACCTAATCATGGCAATAAATTTTCAGAACCTGTAAATACTGTTAGGAGAGACGTGTGCCAGTGCTAAGACATGGCTTGTCTGCTTCTATTCCTCAGGAACCTACAACCCAAATGGAAGCCTCTAACATTTCAGGCTCAGGCAAAAATACACAGCCACGCCACTCCAATAGTGCCACCTGCTGTGCACTGTAAAAGTGTACAGAGGTCTGTAGATCCGAGTAACTCGATTTAAAGACTGACTGATTTAAAGAGAAATCACAATTTGGTGTGCAGGTATGACAATACAAATTTATTTTTATTTACTAGCAATACGTAACCAGGCTAGGGGCACAAAGGAAGTTGTTCCACTGTGGTATAAAAACATAACCTATGGACGATCCATTTTCAATTTTAAGTCAGTGGCATAATAAGGATTAGCTACATCCGCTCACTACACATCAAAACCACGATTAACCTCGTGCTCTTTATGATGTCATGTACATTAGACCTGCAATTCATTTCATTAATTATATCGTGGTTGCAAATTATTCACACAACACACACATGTATGTATATGTATGTGTGTATATATATATATATATATATATACACACACACTCATGCCTTGATAGAAGAGTGCACACACACAAACACATGTACTGACAAACCCATGTACACACCTATAGAGGCTGATTCAGCTGCACCTCAAATCCTGTGTTCAGTTTTGGGTCCCTCACTACAAGCAAGACATTGAGGCGCTGGAGTGTGTGCAGAGAAGGACAACAGAGCTGGGGAAGGGTCTGGAGCACAAGTCTGACAAGGAGCAGCTGCAGCAGGTGGGGGTGTTTAGCCTGGAGAAAAGGAGGTTCAGGGGGGACCTTATTGCTCTCTACAAATGCCTCAAAAGAGGTCACGGTAAGGTGGGGGTCGGTCTCTTCTCACAGTGACACAATGAGAGAAAATGGCCCTGAGTTGCACCAGGGCAGGTTGAGATTAAATATTAGGAAAAAAATTTTCACTGAAACGGTTGTAAAGCATTGGAACAGACTTCACAAGGAAGAGATCCCTGAAAGTGTTAAAAAAATGTGTGGATATGGCACTTGAGGATGTGATTTAATGGTCAGCATGGTAGTGCTGGGTTGACAGTTGGACTTGATCTTAAAGGTCTTTGCCAGCCCTAACAATTCTATGAAGATGCTCTGTTCACAAGCTCTCTGTGGAAAGGGAACAAACAGCCA